TTTCCTTCCCTTTTTCCCCCTTTTCTAATTTTTTTTCTAAGTCTACAAACACCAGAACTCTCCATTCTGAAAACTGATTGTTTAATTGTTTATGTATCTTTTGAACTTAGCATAGTTACTGGTGCCTTCTTGAAAAGAGAAAAATTTCCCAGCAAAGGAAATCACTGCAGTTTACCAGGTTGGAAACTCAAAGGGCATAAGATCAGTTTTAAAGTGGTTCCAATTCTGACTCCAGATCTCTGACTCCAACCTCTGCTCCAGGACCATGGACTGAAGTTTTAGATGGTAACGGGCAGTTTTTGATCTCATACTCTTGAAATTATTAGACTTTAAAAAAAATGAGAAGAGAACGATTCTCAGAAGACAACTACTCCTGTACATCTGTAAATTAAATAATCTAAAATTAAAAAWGTGAAAATTAAGTWACCTACAACAGACTTYTAGAAATGTKACCCAAAYMATCTGTGATCTGCAAGGCCCTTTCTGTTTGTACACAGACTCATTTGTTTTCAGAAGATTTTTCCACGAGGCTATTTCTTATTTGTGGCAAACAGGGGAGYGAAAAGTTGCCTGAGAAGCCCTATGACATTTCAGAGACAGACGCAGTTTCCCAGAAATTCTGTGAATATCCTGACCTTCACAGCACCAGGGTTTCCACATCTSTCCACACACAGTGGCCCAGCAGTGTGACACAAACACTGGGCAGTCCTGGCAGTGTCCCCCTGCCCTCCTCAGCCTTTGTCACAGTTATCCTGGAGGATCAGAGCTCAGCTCTGGGTTATTCCCACTGCCCTGTGTGCCTACACCCCCMCTCCATCCAGCCATTCCCATTAGCAGCACTTGTAGAGGCTCATCCCATCCCACAGCTTGTAAAAAACCCAAAATGGCCCGTGGGGGACTTCCCTGCTCCTCTTGGTGCCCTCTCAGCACACAAAGGGTTCAGCCCACAGCCTCCCTGCAAACCTCATGCAAATTAAAATGTCCCTAATTCCAACCTGTATCCAACCATGTAACCAAAGGAAGGAACAGGATTTGGGGTACTGCTCAACCAAGAACCTGAATTAACCTGTGTTGCTCACATAACCTCAGTGACAAAGCCCTGTACATCTGGCCCCTATGAAGTCCTTTGCTCCACTTTGGGAACAAAAGCACAAAATCTTCAACTGAGCAGGTGGTAGAAGACACAGCATAATGCATTTTTATGGGCCCTCCATATGTCCTTTCCAATATGCAGTGAGATAAACCCTCATCTCACTTACAGTCGTGCAGTCCCACTCAAATCTTGCAGTTTAGTACCACTGCAAAAGTCACTTGTGAAATTCACGTTGTGCATGGTGCACCCCTTTTTTTAAATTAAAAAAAACTAAAATAAAATCTCAAAGACCTGTCTAAGTATTACAAATTTGTGCCAATTCTCATCTCTTATTTAATTCAACCAYGTATGCCCTGAGTCACCTTGCCAARGTGGATTTGGACCCATGGATTTGGATCTCTAGTCTCTTGCTTTATCTCAGTTTCTCCAGTCCTAAAACAATGGTAGTGACCCATACCTGACTCCAAAGTTGTGGCACAAAGCTTAATTCACTCAGTGCTCTCCAATGCCAGAAGAGACTTAGAGATGAAGGGTGCCACAGCATGTTTGGGTATTTCTGAGCACAATATAGACTTTTCATTCTATTCTAAAATGAAGACACATTCAAGGTGTGTTCAGACCTCTGTATTTCTAATAACATTCTTGCAGGAACGTCAAAGCTTAAAATCTAAGAATTGCTGTCTAAGTGCATGCTAATGGCCCGCTCTGCAGATGGAAAATAAAAAACTTATGTTTTYGTGTAAGCACAGGGTTGTCAGTGGTTTATTTCTTTCAGAAATTCTCACAAAAGCCAGGATTTCTCTGTATATATGTGACCTTGATTCCTAGATGGCACATGGACTACTTAGAGATCATGTTACTAAGTTATKTGCAGTTAAAGAGGAAAAAAAGGCTAAAATTAATGGGTCACTGGGTATTTTCTTCTGAGAACTTAACTACTTAACAGTAAGAAAAAAACAGTTTACAGCCAGGTGGCTTGAGGGGATATTTTGTTGAACACTGATTAAAAATAATTTCTTCTAAATGAGACCTGACCACAAAATGGGACCATTAACGAGCAGGGACATTCTCACCAGAAAGGAAACTACGCTTGATCAACTCCTGCACCGCCCCACAAACCCCAGGTCTTGGTCTCTCTCTCACACACACACTCTCTTTTGCTTTTTCCCCCCTCCTTTTTCTGCTCTCCCCTTTCCTTGTTCTTAATAGCAGGGTAAATAAGCAGCAAGTGATGCTGAAATGTTTTCGGCCAAAAACAGAGGCCAAACTCCTCTGAGAAAACATTTGGCCTCTGTGGTTTTGTAATATGTTCCAGAACACTGAGTTCACTGAAGAACATTGTGAAAAACTCCCATCGGCTGCAGTGATGCTGGGGAATGTTACTGTATCCCAACTTCCAATTGGTCCATTTCCTGCAGGCCTTGTTAAAAAAAAAAAAAAAAAAAAAGGAGGAAAAAAAAAAAAATAGTGCTATGTGGGAGTTAAAACAAGTTCTCATGGGAAAAATGAATGGCAAGAAATTCTAGCTTTAAAAGAAACAGCTAATCTGCTAGTTTGATTGTTCTTCAAAACTTACAATGAACCAATAATCCTAATTAAAACCACTTGGCCTAGTTCTCTAAAGCATCATAGCTTTTTCTATGCTTCGTTTGTACACACCATAGACTATTAGTTTTTTTCTAGTGCTCACTAACAAAGTGCTGACTTTGTTGGGATGGCTGAGCTAATTTCGTGAACTCAGTGTGAAACCTTAGCTAAACAAAATTGTGGTAATTTTCCTTAATTTGTAAAAGTGATTGGAGTGCAAACAAAATTTTCCTCTTGGGTCAATCCTATAATTTTCAATTAACTAAAACTAATCGGCAGGCGTGTACTGAACCTGCATTTTGTTTAAAGGGCTGGAAGGCACTTCTGAAGGTCAGGATGCATTAATTGTTTTKATTTTAGTTTCATTTAGTCCTTTTTAAAAAGCTACATTTAAGTTCAGGATGGCTCTAAAAGGAAAATGCAAATCGTGTGAGGTAGGATTTCAGTCACAACGGCTTTTCTGTATCTATTGTAACTCTGTAAGTAACTGCAGAAAAGAATTGCCCATGGCCTGGATCACCTTTGATTTTATMATTTTTATCATTATTGTTTAGTATTTCATAACTTCATTTCTTGAATGAGAAATACTATGTTTTAAGCACAAACCTGAAAATGTATGTATGGAAACACTCTCCCTACTGGGACACTTTAGTTCCACATTCAGGATCTGCTTCTGGGCACACAAGCTAAACTGCTGCCCTGCTTTTACTGGAAAAACTAATTAATGATGATCTGAAAAGCAGCCCCAAAATGGGCCCAAGCCATTCTTACATTTAAAGAAGTCATCAAAATGTCTTTGCAAAGTTAAGGAGAGCAGGCTTTCCCCTTTTTTTTAACTTCCATGTGTACACCTGACTTTTCCCCAGCCCTGGGGACAGATACCCCAGCAGGGTGACAACAAGCAGGACAGCAGAGTGCAAGAGAGGAGGGAAAGGATTCGTGGTCAAACAGTCCAGAGCTCTGGCCAACCTTCCTGTGTTTGTTCACACCACCAATTTGCACCAGCCATCAAATTGATCCTTTACTTCTTCTTTTGTGCCAACACATTTAAACTCTAAATTTTTTTTTTTGATACACTGTGTTGTTGCCTAATATATGGATTTCCCCACTGCTGAAATCATAACACTCACAAATAAACACACAGAGCCTCCACAAGTGCCCGCTGCTCAGCCATTAGGGCAACATGTGAACATTTTAGGAGCCAGTTTGAAGAAACCCAGTGCATAATCCCAACTGGGGGAGAGGGTATTTGAAAAAGACAGCAAAGCTTCTTTGCTGGCACCTTTGTTCAACTTGCCTAGTGTTAACGAAATTCAAATGAGAGCTTTCCTGCCCAGCTGGAGCACAGAATTCTCTCCTCTGCCTCAAGTCCCTGTGTGCACATTGACAGCTGGAGCAATGTATGTGCCCCTTGCAATTCAGAATGCCTTAGTCACAAGTATTCATGACATATCTCAAAGTTTCAGGGCCATTTGAGGATGGGAAAATGAACTGCACTGGGTTGTGCTGAACCACAACTCAGGCAAACAGTTCCAGCATAGTCCTGCCTGCAAATGTGAACAAAGAGCTTTAAAAGCACATCCAAAGCAGGGCAAAGCTGTTAATTCCTGGAGCACGCACACCTTCTGAGGAACGACACATATAATTTTAAAAAAGTTAGGCTGATACTTGATTTCTTTCCCAGGCCATTCTTAGAACATAACTATAATGAGAGTGGTTTGACACTGACAGCACCTGCAATGTCCCAGAGTGGTTTTGTGTATGTTGAGGCCAAATCACTCAACTGAGTGGTCTCCAGGGTGGGAGGGCCCCCAAAGAACACTGCAAGGGGCTGTGTCTGCAGCACTGGCTGGGCTGAGAGCTGCCTGAGCTCCCTGCAAGTCAGAGAGCAGTGAGTTATGGTGAGGATGCTGCTGTTTGAACACCTGCAACACTTGCTGGACAACGAGAGATGGAGATATTCAGCAGGATCCTCCTCAAGGCAGGTTTGTGTGTCTGGCTCCMTGTGCTTGCACTCTTCCCCTGTTTGTTTAAGTACTGGAGTATCTGTTTCCCTCCTTCCTCTCGCTCCCGGGTAAAGAGATGTCCCACTGAGAGGACAAACACACAAACTAAAATCCCACACTGRTGAGTTTTCAGATTCACCCTTACAATGACCAGTTCTGACTCAACCTCAAACTGGTGCCTTCAATGACATCCTCAGCCGAAATGATGCAACACAGCACAGCTTTCAATGACAAAAGCAGAAGCCTTAACAAGTATGATGTATTGCCTGCCCTATYTCTCCACCTTGTATCTAACACCACRAAAGCATCCATACCTGTGTAAATGAATCTTCCAGGCGTTCCCTTGCAAAACTGCTTTGACTTGTAGGACAATGTGACTTCTACAACCCCYGGGATGTGTCGGGGAGGCGTCTGTACACGGATGGCATGTGGAGTAATCAGCTAGRGAAAACACAGAGAAGGGAGAAAAAAGAGAAAAAAAAAGCACTGTTAGATCCTGAACACTTCTTTAATAACACTTTCAGATCACAGTAAACAAGCTTTGAAACATGTAATTAACCTGTCAGTGTTTGAATACAATCTTGATGTAACCCACACAAAAGCCAGTGACTATAATATTTACAAGCATTCCCGTAACAACATTATTCCTGTTTTCATACATGGCAGGCACTTGCTTCCCAGTACAAGCATCAGCCCTGGTTTAATGCAATAACTCCACATAACAGCATCAGGATGCCCATGTTTGCTCAGATGAATTCTGGGGTCATGTCAGTGTCCAACAAATCTGATTCATAAATGGCACACAATTTACAGGTGTGAACACGACACAGAACAAGCCCAGGATTTTAAATACTCCAGTCCCCAGCTGATATCTGTACACTGGAAAAGCACCCTGTGCTGCTGTGTTTATTTTCTTTTCATTTTGGGGACGTGTAACTGATTTATTTCTGTAAGAAATGCAAAGYTTGGCTTCTAAAGCTTGCCAGATCTTTCCTTGAATATTATCAGAGCACTTAAAAAAGATGTAGCAAATAAAACCATCCAACCATCACTCCTAGTCTGTCTTCACTGCAGTGACTGACACATGTCTGAGAGASCTTCTTCAGGTGTGGATTTACAAAGAAATATGTAGATAACTTTCTTTCTGTCTGGGGATTCTGATCCTCTTGGCACAAAGTTTTGAGCAGGTCAGTGTTGCAGCTTCCAGGCTCTAGACTATTTTTGCTCTTTCAGGATTCTGAACTGGATTTAGAATGTGGTCCCTGAAATTATCAGCAGAGTCATCTAGGAATTCAGTAATTCATAGCAGATTATCTCAAATCCCTGCKGCTCTCAGAAACTACAACATCATCCTCCCCATCACCAAAATGTCCTCTTCTCACTCATTGAGCTCCCTCAGAAAAAAATAGTAAAAAGAGGTCCTTAGGACAGGTGACACGACTGTGTTCAGCAACCAAGATATAACTCTGGCACACAAATAATCCCTCTGTGCCTGTGGCACATTAACACACCCTTAGAGAGGCAAACAAAACCAAGACCATAACCTGGCTTGACAGTGAGCAAAGCACGAGCACCCCAAGCAGTCAACTGCTCCATGCTCTTGGTTGAATCATGTCCTGGATTAAGGAATAAATTTCAATAGGTTTATTTTTTTAATAAAAAGCTAATTTTATTYTTATTTTTACTAGGAACCAAATGTTTCAGCATTGTAGTAAGGCCCTACCAAAAAACCCAGACATTTATCCAGTTCTTTGTTTAGGGCACGGGACTAAAAAAGAGCACAGAAGGAGAGTAATATCTGTCTGAGAGCCATCTGTGCTACAGAGGGAAATGGCACACACAGTAGGGAGCTCTCCATATTTAAAATAAGAAAATTAATATTAAATCAAGTTGAACGTTAAAACCAAAACTACCAGCATCAAATGCTCCAGAAGTYATTCAGATCCACAGAAGTCAGAAGCCACATGTCATTTTAGAAATTATCATGTAGGGGTTGATGGGTTCTTGTTTGTTAGCTCCAAAACATGTTTTCAGGCTCTGTTTTGAAATCATGTGGTTTAGTAACTTACTTACTTTTGAAAGAAATCTGCCTTTTTTTTTTTTCTAAATTGTTCACTGTATCAAACTTYCAAGGAATGCTTTTACTTAAACTGAGTTGTCTTACAGTTGAGCTGACCAAAGAAGTCCAGGCCAATTGTCTCCACKCCCTCAAGAGCCAGCAGAGGCAGAAGGCAGTGCCAGAATTGATTTCTAGTGCTTCAGACACCTCTCACATTGGGATGAGCCACTCTCTGGAAGCTTCTACCTTTCCCCAGTGAATCACGACAAATTTAGGCTATTTGCTCAGCTGTATGCAGCCAAACATAACTGAGATAAATCCCATCCTCGAGTGGTTCTGGTTAACTGGGTGAACTGGCAAGACGAGAAAAATTTTACGATATTTTTAGGGAAAAGATATTTGTTAAAACAGCCAAGGATTTTAGTASTAAAGGTTAGCACGCTCATCTTACTACATCAGCCTTGCATCCCTCAGCCCCATTCTGGCACGAGCTGTACAGGCAGCTTCTGGTTGCATCTYTGAGTTTCCCAGCATTAACTGGCCTGTCACCACTTTAATGTTCTTTAAACATAATTTGTGGCATTTTCCAATACTCATCTTCCCTGGTTCCCAAGAAATGTCTGACCTATTTATGGTCCATTGTTACAGAGAGCTGGGGAGAGTTAAGCAAGTTTCCTGGTTTGTTCTCCACAAACAGTTTGGTTTTCCTTTGTGCTCTGAAGTAAATAAGTTTAACTGTGTTTAAAACCACAAATATACAATAATGTCGCCCACACATTCCCAAAGGGTGAACATTATGTCTGAAGTCCTATGGTTWAGGACTTTCAGGATGTATTTTATTCCTCTCTTCCCTACAACTAAAGCTTGGGAGGTATACCAGGAGAATACATGTGCCTTTTCCTTTTGCTTTGTCCCTGTCACATCTGTCATTGACCACTGGCAGGGATCCAGTGCTGAGCCAGGGACCTTTGTTCTGGGTTGGTTTCCTGCACAGAGAGGGACTGGCCAGCTTGGTGACACACCAGGAATTCCCTGGATTGCTGTCCTATCAGGAGATTGTCTTCAAGGGACAAACAACATTCCCTTGCACATGGAAACCTGCTCTCTGAAAGCCACCTGTGGTCTCAATTCTGGTTCCACAGCACTGCCAGGATCTGTTATGGACTGGGGCCAGCTCTCCAAATTGTCCTGACTCTGTTTTGCAATCCAAGTGACTCAATTGGTGCTGCACATCTCTGGGCACTCCAAGCCCACCAAGAGCAAAAGCAGATCTGTGCCTGACCTTGATAACTCCAGGATTATGGGATGCTTTCCTGATGTTGGGAACCCACTCCTCCACCTTTTCTCCTTTCACACTGACACAGCCTGTTCCTTCTTCAAGGCACAGTCTGCCTCATATTTACATGCAAAGCATCTGGAAGAGGTGAGCTGTTACCATCCAGGGATATTAAAAGTAGGAACAGCACTTCTGGATGCCTCTGGACTTCTGGAGCACCAAACATTTGGAGACTGGTGGAGTGTTTTGGGGAAGCATCACAACATGTACTGTTGTTCCTAGGCCTCTGTCCTTGCCCTTTGACAAACACAAAATGCTGAGTTAGATGAGCTCCCTGTGTGACCCAGCTGGGCCAGTTGTGTGTTCACACCTCAGCTGGGAACTCTTGGTGGATGAACAGACATCAGAACAACCATAGCAATTACATGCCAGGGACCAGGAATTCCTAAATATGAGTTAAGACACTTTCTGAATACATTTTTTTAAATGGAAATATTGGGCAAGGCATTAACCTGTGATTTGGACATGAACCCACCAGCCCAAATCTGAGATCCAACTTTGCCCTCCATTCCAGCATTTAGCAAAATAAGAAATGGAGCTGGGCATAAAATTAGTAACTGGACCTTTCTCCCAAGGGATTTTTTAGTAAATTGGCCTGATACTTAGCAACTGCACCCGCTGTTTGGTATAAATTCTGACAGGTCAGCTGGGACATGCAGTGGGCTGCACTAAAACCTGAGTTAGGGATCTTCAGAATGGTGGGTGGGGCATGGCCTTCAAAATCCAAGACACATTTGGGCTGAGTGTGTACAACAAGCTTCTTTCTGTGGTTTGCTAATATATTCTAGACATTCTTGTGTGATACAGCATCATTTCACACTCTTCAGAATGCCAGGTTACTTTCTTTTTTTTTTTTTTTAAAGTGACATTTTATAAGGAGATGTCATTAATCTGAGTCACTAGTTTATTTTTGCATGCTTGAGCTCTGGTTTGTGGTTAGGGAAATGGTGACAATCAGTCATAAATTTGACTTTGACTCTGTGAAGAGGACCATCAGGACAGGAATGAAGAAAAATCCCACCAACTGAAGGTAATGACAGCTTTCAGTGAGAACAGAACCCTTAAGGTACCTATATTTTGAAAAAMGACCAATGACTTTGCATGCCTCAATTCTGGGCATCCAGATGCTCCTTAATAAGCCCTGGYTTGCAAAAAGAGGGTGCCTACTCATTTTTTTTAAATGAGTCAGAGCTCCAAAATAAGCACTCAAAAACATAGAGTTCCAAAATCAATAGCAAACATAAAAAGTAAAATAAAAAAAAAACGTGTCACAGAATTTGTTTCAGCAGCAGGAAAAAAATAAAAACCCAACCAAAAAAACAACAAACCACCAAACCAAAAAATCATCCTCTGTTTTTGTGCTGTACAAAGGTGAAAAAAAAAAGATGTTTCAGTGCCTCATCTTTTCTTAATATAAAAGAAAAAAAAGTTGTTTCCAGCTGACTCTGTACAGCTGGAGGAATGTTCTTGGCAGGAAAATGTTTGAAGAAATAGTTCATTTTAAGCAAATATTGTGGAATATTTATAAGAAATTAATTTTGCCTTCACAATCGTGGMTTTGCCCTGAAACTCGACTCTCAAATCTCAGACCTCAACAGGAGAGAGAAATCACAGAAGGTTCTAATCAGCAACCCTGACTGGGAGCATTTGTGACAACACAGGGACCCAGAACCTGGGTAAAATCCCCCAAAAAACAGCTGTGTGTGTGTGTGCTGCCCAAACGGGCAGGCAGAGCCTGTCTGGCACTCAGAATGTTTGCTGGGAGTTGTCTGAGCACATCCAGCATGTGCACACGATAGCCCAGCGCTGTTTGTTTGTCGGTTACGAAAGTCCCTCGGAAAAAAAAGGGCATTAGATGGCTCATTCTGCTGCATTCTAAAAATACCRAGGGCTTTTAAAGTCATTTTTATAAAGGAATATGGGAGGTAAGGATTAATTGARCCTACTGGCTTGGGGTATCTGCATTTCTGCACAAAATTAATGTGACAAATTAAGTTTTTATTTAGTTCTCCCTGGCTGAGAAAGGTTGCAATTATGTTAGAGTGTTTACAGCTAAAATATATGTTTAAATAATAAATATGTGTTTCAGAAACCATTTTAAACCTCCTTTTTTTAACACAGTCAACTCCATTTCAAGCATATAAATATTTCAATTACAAAACTTGAATACATGTAAAATAAATTAAAAATATATTATTTACATTTCAAATTATTTATAACACATGCTGCTTGACAGCAACAAATTCACTCTTAAAATGAACTATTCTTTTTTTTTTAACTTTCCTTCTGAACTGGGGTAGGATTTATATTTTAAATATCCATGCAGCTCAGGTATTTACATGGATTTTGCTATAATAAAATCTGAGTAATATAGGACCTTTACGATAATTATCTTCACAGCACCTCTCCAAAGAAGGTGACTAATCTTATTACTGTTTTAGAGAAAGGGAATTGAACTTTAAGCAGATTATATGATTTGCCCAAGATCCCATGCAAAGTCCTTAGCAAAATGATGCTTAATTTCAGTATTAGACTTCATCCCCCAAACCACCTGCAATTAGAACTGAAAGTGAAGGTAGAAAAATCCACGTGAAAATTCTCTGCAAGAGTCACTCATTTTCTTTAGTCTCTACCAATCTGGTTTTGTTTGGAATTTTCTGCAGCCCARTTAAAATTATGTTTTCTTTGGACCCACGAAACAACAGGATGAACTTTAAAATTCTTCCAGRATTCAATGACAACATAATCTGGCCAAGTTTGCTCAAGACTGGGCCTTGCTGGCAACTCAGGATGAGCCTGCTCCAGTTTTAAAATGGACTGAAATTCAGAGGACTGACAGTTCAATTTTATACTCTATTAAAATAAAACAAAAATATTCGTCTTGGGTACTGCAAATGCTCTAGACATTTTTAGAAATGGGAAGGCAAATGAAAGAACTTATTTTGTGCTTCATAGGTGGCTTGTATGTGTAATTTGAATTATTTATAGATCACTATTATTTAGGGATCACTCAGACAGCTCATGCATTTCTGCACTTGTTTACCATGTTTGCTTCTTTTAGAAAGAATGTTCTTTTCTCCTATGTGATTTTTGACTGCTCTCATAGGTTATGAATTGAGAAGCAATTCTGTCAGGCAGAGACAGTGAAAGAGTTTTCCTCAATGCCAGCTCGCAGCCCATTGCAGCAGTCTGGCTTTGGTCTGGACCCYCTCTGACATTATTAATTTCATGACAAGGCCTTGCAACCATCAGCAACAATGTTTTGACCACCACTCGGTTTCCTGAGACAACAGAATTGACAATTAATGGCTTTCACTAATAAATAGAATCAAGATTTATAATGAAAGATCCAATTCTGCAGCACCAAAATCAGAGCACTTTCCWCCCAGCCCCTTCACCTTTCCCTGTTAAACGTCTGCAGCCATAATGGCTTCAATACTAACACACAAAATGCTTACACTGGGCCCAGGGGGCACTTTCATGATCACATAAGGGCTTCAGAATAGGGCTCATTTACCATCTCTCCTTTTCGGGAATGCCCTTTCATCCACACTCGTCCTCAAGTGGAAGGATGAGAGAGAGAGAGAGAACAGTGACGCTCGTGAAGGACATTAGAGAATACTCTYCACATGGAAAAAATGCTGCCATATGTGCAAAGGAATCAGTAGGGGGAATGTGCTGGATATAAATTAAGCTATAGTGTTGATTTAGTATTTACAGGATATAAGGTAAAGCACCAGAAGATCCTCTCTCCACTGGGAAGCGTTGCACAACTATTTCAGGGAGGCTGGCGGTGTTTTTAGTATTAAAATAATGAAAATGACAACTTCTTATTAAACCCCCAAAATGCTTTTGGAAAGCCCTAAGTTCAAAATGTAAACCTTTCCTTGGAGCTGCCTCCCTGTGCCAGCAGGGAACCCTGCCACAGCCTCTACAGTGGCCATTTGGTTTTTGGGGAATATCAGACTCCATGATTAATAATGTGCTGGGAAAAGACAGGATTTAAGGAGCTGGGAGGAACAACAACAGGAAAAAAAATGGAAAAGAAACAAGGAAAGGGTTCCTGTGAACCAGAGGGGCCCTTGCCAGGTGTGGGGAGTCCACTGTGGGTATAACACAGTGCTTTTGGGTGCTGTGATGAAAATGATACTGACACCAAGYATCCACTTCAGAATATGCTGTTCAGAGGTGCTGAATTTCTGCAATCTCCACCTCACTGAGCTGCAGCTCCCAGCAGCCAGTTTCCCTGGAAAGCAGGATCACCTAAACRTTTGTTTCCTGTGGGCCCTTAGCTATTGTAGTGCTAAATGCAGAATTATTCACTCAGGCATTTATCCTCCCCTTCCCCTGGAATAAAACCCACTGAGCGAAATTCTGGGTCAGCCAGAGGAGATGCAAATCCCCCTGGCTGKAATGGATTCCTGCCACAGGTAAATTGGACTAATTATTTTCATAAAACTGAGTGAGGCGAGGACTCGGGTCTCAACATTTGTTGCTGATTTAGCATGTGGCACAGAGAAAGGACAGGCTGGCTACAAGAAGACAAAGCTATTAGACATTAGYGTTCAGACAACACCTACCTCACTCCAAACCAGCATGGTGCCGAATATGACCTGTAACCCATCAAAGAAATTGTCTCCTATGATGATGACAGTGGCACCTCCTGTAGTCCATCCTTCACTTGGACTGATGGCTTTGATACATGGTGTAGCTGCTTTTCAACACACATGAAAAAGAGAAGTATTCTGCTGTTAGAACTGGATTTTAATGATAGAAGACGTGAGAAAAATAAAATAAAAGGAGCTTTCATTTCCCCCCTTACTAGCACAAAGATTTCAGCAATCACGTTATTTCTAGTACATATGCATGACCTCAAACTCTATCTTTGGAAGCATTATTTTTTCTAAATTAATTTCTGTTTAGCTTTATTATCTGCATTGAAGAAATAATTTTTTTAATCCTACATTAACAAAAAAATCACAGCATGAAGGGCAGGGACCAATTGGAAATCAGGACACATGCCATTTTTTATTGTATATTAAATGTGCAAGACCTGAGTTAATAAAACAATCTCCAGTAAGTTTGCTTTATTATCCATCAGAACCCAAACTCACCAAGGAAACTCCCATAAATATTATGGAAAATGCTGGCAAAATAAAAAAAGGGTGTAACCCTCAGCATTTCTTTCACTGTTCTTCAGTCGGATCCAGGTTGTTCAATATTAAACCATCCTGCCCTGATTAATGTTTTGGCTACTACCAAAAAAAAACCAACACCCCAAAACCCAAACCCACATGCAGTCATTCCAACTACAGGACAAACAAGATATGGGTGCAGGACATTCTGCCAAATTCATGGAGCCTCACAGCCACTTTCTTGGCATGGTATCTACTCAGAGTCTCTGAGAGTATGTTGAAAAGTCAAGTGCTGCTCAAATCTTGGCCTAAGAGCTTCTGGTTTAAGACTATGTCAGCAGAAGCAGCTCAAATCTTGGTGGGCAGGGGCAGTGTAAACATTCACACAATGATTCTCCTCCTCTGCAGCACTAGGGTACCTCAGAATTTAACTGTGCTGCAGCAACAGAAATGACATTACTGTAAAAATAAGCTGAATTAGGCAAAATGGGGAGCTTTCTGCTGTGTAGTCTCAGCGTAATCACAACAGTTTATGATAAGAAGAAACTTCACCCAAAATGCCACCAACTTTTCCTGCTGATACAGCATGAGATGAGAATATGGCATGAGATAACATTAGTTAACATTTTAAGTAAAGAAGGTACTACAGCAACTTCACTACTCATTGAAAACACGTTCAAGGAGCAGCATAACTCCACCAGCCAACCTCAATGTTGGAAAGAATGATTCTTTCCARAGGGAAGAGGCTGCACTGCAAACTCAGGAAAGGCTTCCACTSCCCGCTTTCAGGGCTGCTGGCATTTGGCTGTGAGTTGCTCCTTGATGGAAAGGCTGATTGAGCTGGTAATTTGGTTTGTAACTTYGAGCATTTGATGATGTACTCAAGGAAGAGCGCTCAGGCGCTTCGTCAGGTAAGGATTTACTAAGAAAACAGRGATATTAGAGCCACCCATGCATTAGCACCATCCAGGATAAAACCCTTGCCCTCATAAGTTACTCAATGTGGCAGTGTAGTGAGTTACTTAATGAGGCACAGGCCCTGTCCTAAATTCCACTAATTGTAAAGACAGAAAATTAATTCATTCACAGAAACCTCATTCAAAATGCTCCAGACACGAAATGCTAAAGACACCCTTTGCATCTTTATGCTGGTTYAGTGCAGTTCTGGTTGGTTGGAGMTRATTGCAAGGGCCGGTGTGGTGCTGGGAAGCTCCATCCCCCCAGTCCCTGGGCAGGGTGGGTGAGTGGGAGCTGGGAAGCAGGAGGGAGCTGGAAAGGGAGAGGCTGAGTACCCCTCAGCAGGGTTTCTGTGTGCACTGCCCCAGACTCACAGCGCTGCTGGTGGCAAGCACGGATGGGAGCAAACAGACCCCAGCCCTACCTACAAAAGGTTGCGAGTGTCCAGCACAAACTTTTCCACTACTTAAGCTGACGGGGATGCCAGCTCCAGGGAAAAACACAAACAGGCAGCAAAAAAAAAATCATTACCCTACTCCAAACTTGGCAGAGCACAGCCATTAAGTTTTACATGAGCTAACAAAAGAAACATCCTGACATTACCGTCACGAAAACGTAGAGCGGCACAGAAGTAACTTCAATGTGTTTAATTTGGATTTGAGTTACTTGTATAAAACTGAGCACAAAAACCACTGCGATGTCCAAAACAAATGCTTTCCCTTCAGCCAAGCTCACAGCAACAGATTTACAGTGAAAGCAGCTTTTCAAAATGCCATCTAGCCCTTTCACAGAATCAAACATTTTCATAAATAAAAATTAAAATCACTTCCAAATTACACCCTTTCCTGCATTCCCAGTTGATTGTGGACACAAACCCCCTACAATAAAACCCAGAGATAATCAGTTTCCCATGTGTCAGAGAATAAGCTACTTTTCTTAAAGACTACAAGCAACATTTTTTTCCTAAATACCAGTGAATAAAAACTATTTGAGGCCATAAGCCATTAACAGAAAACATATGCAGGCTTTGCTGAAAGGGCTGTCAAGCTCTGGAAGAGGCTGCCCAGGGAAGTGGTTGAGTCACCAYCCCTGGAGGTATTTAAAAGCCATGTAGATGTGGCACTTGGGGACAYRGTTTAGTGGTGGGCTTGGCAGTGCTGGGTTTACAGTTGGACTCGATYTTAGAGGTTTTTTCCAACATAAATGATTCTGCAATTGAAAATTATAGATTTGAGTAATCTTTAAAATGAATGCAAGATAGTGTTGTGCAGTTACAGGACCCCATGAGGAAGCTCTTGCTGTTTATCTTGGGATGTTCTCTGCAGTCCCCACGTTGCACTCAGAGGTTCAAAGTGCTGCCCTGTCAGTGCTGCCTCATGTATTTGATTCTGATATTTTATATGTGCATTTGCTTCATGTCAAGCATGTGCCAAGTCCCATCCAGGGCAGCCAGGGCTTTGCACTGAACTGGGGCTGGGAGTTCTTCACTGGGATACGCTCTCCTGCAAAGTCACTGGGACCAACTGCACATGTCATTTGACTGAAATGTGTAGAAATTGTGCTGAATCAGTGCCTCATCAAAACTGCTGGCAACAGCCAGGATGTCTCCTCTGAGGAGAACAAGTCAGGGCTTGGTGATTTCATAAGCAGGGCAGGAGGGAACCCTTTGCAGGCACAGCCACAGAGTGCTGTACATTCCCAAAAGATTTCAGGCATTATTTTCCCACCTCACAAAAACCAGAGGGACTCCCCAGCTCTCCCCACACAGCTTCTCTTATATTAAAATGGGAGTGTCTGTAAAGATTGGAAGGGCTGCAGGAGGTGCTGCCCAGCCAGGGAAGTGGCCCTGAAGGCCTGCATCCCAAGAAGACGTGCTGAGGGAGGCATCCAGGCTGCTACCTGTTTTTGAGGGCACAAAACATGTTTATACAATGACATATTTGCAACAAGCAGTGTCATTCGGGACACTGGCCTAAAACTCTGCCCTTCCCAGGCCCTTTGCTGGATGGAGGATGGAATTGGGTCCCGTTTGCAGCATCACCACAGGTGACATTGGGAGGGAGAGCAAGGCAATGACCTCAGCTCTATTTATGCCCCTGGTACAAATGTCTGGCCAGCTCAGGCCCTCAGCTCTTCATAGTTCTGCTCTTAATCACTTGGCAACTTTCAAAGCACTGTCTGGAAGGTGTTTACTTCTGTGCAACCCTAGAAAAACAGAGCTAGGCAGAATAATCCTTTCACTGATTTTTCTACATTTGGTTTTGGTTGGAAGACAAACCAAAATACAGAACATTTATTTTTTTTCAGAATGCAAAGTTCCAGAATGTCTATCTGGAATTAACTATAACACTTTTCAATACCTCCAAGAAAAACAAAATGTTTTGTTTCAAAATATTATCACTTCTCATGGCCTTCTGTAACCCCCAAGCATCATTTCTGAAATGGTGTTTTTAAAACAAATAGAAAAAAGGTTAAATAAAATTTAGCTTTTTTCTGTAGAAAAAGAGTTTTTAGTCAAAGTCTGAAGCTGCACTGCTAACAAAATAYAGTGAAGGACTTTAGACCAGTCTTAATCGAGGCAGTGAAGTGTACATGATTGATAACAYGAACAGACTTTAAGGAAGAATTAGAACAAAAAAAGAATACTCATTCCTACACATAGGAACTTCTTTGTTCTCATTGCTAAATGAACAGCTGGAAGCCAACTATGATAAAAACCAAGAGTTTGGTAGCCCAGCCATCAGGCAGGATTTTCAGACTCTTTGGTGGGAATGTGTTACATTCACTGCATCTTTTCAGAACAGCTGGAAAGCCAAACATCCCCCTCCAGCCACAGCAGGACCTGCAGCTCCTGGTGAAGGGGATGTGGCCACRTCCTCCAGCTGCTGAAATGGTTATGAGCCTTCCTGAGCTGCTCTCCTTCTTTGCACAATCCAAGGCAAAGCAGTGTCCACCTCTGAYGAGTCCCATCGTGCTGCTCCTGCTGTCCAAGCTCACAGAGATGGCAGAGGGAGGCACTGCAACCCCAAACCAAAGGGAATTCTGCCACTGACTTCAAAGCTAAGGTCTCTTTCAATAAATGTTAAGGATTTATGAGCAAAAACCTTAACAACTTCAAGGGAAATTACRTTCTTTATGAAATCTTCATCTTTTCTTAGAGTGCACATTGTTAAAATCTTATCACCTCCCATACAAAGGACAGCAGGTACCAACTTCAGTGCATGGGGAGCAAAAAAAGGAAAAGTTTTTTSTTGTGTGCTGCGTGTGTCGGTGTGTTCCTGTGTTCCCACACCTCCCAGCTACTGATATACAGGGGATTTTTCTTCCCTCAAACTGTGACAATAAAATGATTACCCCGCCACAGTTTAGCATAATGGTTCAGAAATGCTCATGGCATATTGCAGAGTTAAAGTGGAAATTATTAGGTAGCTCTTCTTTGTTATAATAATGATCACTCCACAAATAAAAGCTCTTCTCCCAAAGGTACTGCAAGGCACAAAATGCTAATTCTGAAGATTATGTGTGCGCTTTTATTAAATATTACTCTGCCCTGTCTGTTTGAGGGCTTCACTGCTCTGATTGTTTTATGAGTGCCATGTTAATGTCAGCCCCATCTTGC